CCCTCGGGGCGGCTCCTCGCCCCCCGCGGCTGGAAGACCTTCTGTCCGCGCAGTTCCCTGTTTTTAAAGCGTCGTGCGGGAAGCGCGGCGGTCACCTCCCTGGTCTTTGGAAGCAGAGCGATGATGCTTCCTTGGGTTAATTTATCCCAGCAGTTTTGTGGCGTAACGTAGCAGTCCTGCGGCCACGAGAGCCACGTCGCGGGGCAGGAGGGGGAGACGCGCGTGGTAACGCGGCCTGCCCGCGCTCGTCAGCGCTTGCGAAACGGTTTAGCCCCCTGTTGCCCGTAGGAATTTAGTGCAGAGTTTTGTCATAAGTCTTTACAAGTTGCTCTCCACAGGGGCAGATACTTCCAGCATCGCCCTGCTGCTGTTTGGGTCTGTCCTGACCCCCCGTCGCAGTCACGTGCCCTCCATTTACCCTACGTGAAAAGGCGTAGCTGTCATCACAATGCATCCCTGAGGCTTTTTCTCCAAATCAATTTTAATTTGTGCAAGTTCAGCTCCTTTTGAATCTTTCATTTTCCCGTGGCAGACTCGAAATGGCTTTTGAACGGTGCTGATGTGACCCCAAATTTGCTGAAATTCCCTAGCTCCGTCTGTAAGGAGTAGTACCGCTCACTTCCCAATTTGGGGCTGGTTTTTACTGTAGGAAGCATACAGCGTCTTCATGACTGTATGTGTACAGACATTACGCGTTCGCTACACAAACACACCATTTTAGTGATATGTTTCTTCATTTTATTTCTGTAGTTTGGGCGGACTGCAGGCTACGCTGGCGCTGACTGATAAGAACGCGTCCTCCTCCCTAATCTGAACCCACATTAGAAAAGTCTCAGGTAAGCCATGTTTTTCCTGATCTGATTTTCCTGATGTCTTGCCTTAAGAAGTAGCGTGGCCTGTTCTGAGCTGCCTTTGGCTCCTCTGAGTTGAAACTAGGACCTGTCTCCTGAGCAGTCCTTATCCCTTGGTTAGCGCTACGTTTCAGCTTAGCGCTGCAGACTCCGAGAGTCACAGTTTAAGTACATCAATTCTGCATTAGGCTCAGATCAGGGGAACAGGAGTTGCTCTTGCTTGTGCATTTCCTGGTTTCCTTGCTTCAACAAGTATGCTGTCATTTATTTATTTTTCCTTACCTTTCCTGTTCGTGTTTCCACTGGCTAGGCAGATCTCCTCCTTGTATTTTTTGCCACATCTGCTATGTTTCTGATCAGGAAGCGCAGTACTCCTGAGACTTGTTTACACTTCCCTTCCCTGAGAATTTTCCCTGCTATCTTTTGTGCCATTCTTCTACTGCTTCCTTGCTGGGTCACTTGCTAGCAGTTTTACTAGCTCAGACAGCTGTGCTAATTAAGCACCTGCTGCAGGGTTATGTAGATATTACATATAATTTTTTTTCTGCAATTTCCTTGTTTAAAACCCTTGCATATCAGATGATTGCGTGTATGTGGCTATTGTGTAGATAACGATCTGAACATAAGTGCTTTTTCACGTAGCCTTTAAAAAGGCTGTTATGCTTCCTCCAGGCCTTCCTCTGTACCCTTCCCTACAGACACACCTATCTACCTGTTACATTCCTTTCCAAATGACATGCCAATTAAAGGCAAGACTCCGACAATCTCATTCACGCTGACATCTCATATAAATTAATTAGACCGCTTCCATAAGACAGCATTGCATCCCATGACTAAGCATATACCCACCTGTTCTAAACTTCAGTAGTATCATCCAGTGTAAAAAATACAACAATAACATGAATGCAACTCATTTTTATGTGCTGCTCAACAGAAATTCTGGTGTTCGACTGAAAGATCTGTGAAAGCGCAGCTCTTCAGGCGCGCCCTCTTAGTAGTACGCCTTCTAGCAGCGAGTTCAAGAGCAGTATCTATGCTTCAGTGGAAAGCCAAGCAATCAGAGTAGGTGCACTTTCAAACATATCCTTAGAAAATGAGCGTCTAATGGTTTAAAGAAGCAATACCATATGTTGTCATTTTTAATCTAGATCCGTCCCTGCTTTGTAGAAAAGCCTTGCATGCATTAATGTGTTTCTCTGAGAAAGCTTATATAGGTGAAGATGCAGGTGTGATGTCTTAAGATAAAACCTTCAGGATTCCCTTGAAAAGTCTCCTTCCTGGGTAACTGACTAGCAATTACACGGTGCAGATCATGAAGAGCGTGCATGCTTCCTCCCTTTGGTAGTCATTAACTACATCTACCTGCTTTCATATACGTCAGTGAAAAAACAGCCATAAATAAAAGAAAGCTTACATGTCTGCAAAATGAAGACTTGGGTTGGTGCTCCAGAACGCATGCGAAGCGTATCCCCTGTAGCCAGCTCTGATGTGGGTTATTTAATACAAAGACCTGGTGTATATTGCAAAGTTTCACCAGAATAGCTATGTCAGCATATACTCTCCAGCCAACATCTCCAAGCCAACAAAACCTCTAGTGTGGACACAGTCTGCTAGCAAAAAAGGGCTTCTGTCAGCTTAGTTTATGTTATTTTATAAGTTGATGTAATTTTGCTGGCAGGAAACCTACGTGAACATCTATAGTAGATGACTGCTCAGACATTCACTTCAGAAACAGCTGTGCTAACCAAAAAATCCCTGCAACGTTTGTCTCTCCGAGGTTGTTCCCCTTGCAGCACAGCCAGCGAGGGCCGTACGAACGCTGCTCATCCACGTCCATACAAAGTCAGTCAGATTACACTTAAATAGCCTGCAACAGTGATCTGGGCTGACCTGTGGCATCTAGTTTGCAAACAGCTGAACTCATGTCAGATATTACCACACTCCAGATGCTTGTTTCAACTCCTATGAAATTATCACTGCCCCTCCCTTCCCTCCCTCCATCCCCCCGGCCACCAAGAAGAGAGCGGAACAAAATGTGTAGGCACACCATGTTCAGTTTGGCTCGAGCAGTGTAAACTGCTGATGAAAATGAGTTTTGCTAATGCAGCAGACTTTACACATTAATGAATTAGGAAATAAATTCACATTTGGTGACATCTAGAGGATAGACAAATAGCTTTAGGACCTCAAGACAGATCTGGAACATGAATTTTGGCCAAGCCCCGTGGTATAAATAAATCTTAAAACAGCCATGTAAAATAAACTGGAACCTGGTCTATTCTGGTGCTTCAAAATAAAAGTCTGGAATTGCAAAAAGAAAAAAACAAGCTTAACTCGGCGTGATTTTATTGAAAAGAGTGGTTTTGGAACAGTTATATCTGTCTGACGCTCTGTGTGAACACTGCTGACTAAATACCAGAATAATTACCATGCTCAGAAGACTAAAATACACAGCAGTAGCTATAGAGGAAAAATATTCTGGGATAGCTCTACAAAATTTAGCAACAGAGTAGCACAGAGCAGCACTGACAGTTAAACCAGCATGAAAAGTAGTTTTCCTGGCATAATATTTCACTTACAGAAAGATATGGTAATACTAGCTTTCCTTTTTGATAATATAAACTGCCATGTACAAGGAGAGGGTTTTAGGATGTAGTTTTGACATGGGAACAAAGCTAATAGTTTAAGCACAACAGATTTGATACTTTGGGGAGAGTCTTCCAGTGTGACTTGCTTGTGTCCAATAAGGAGGTCATGTGATTTGCTCAAGCTCAGCAGGACAACTGCAAACAGAGCCTGATTATTCTGACATCCTGCTACTGCTGTTAGCATAAAACGTACCAGTTATATAAATATATAGAGAGAGACTTATTAAGTGATTTTTAAAAAAAGTGTCATATACTTCCTAACACCTCTTGAACATGTTTGCTGGTTGCAGTTGTTTAGCACTGTATATTCCACTTTTTACCCTCTCTCTACCAAAGTTTATGGCCTACATGACCTGTACGCTCCTGTGTTCCACATGCATTTGAATTGCAGGATCCCCTACTTCCCCTAGAAAGTAGAAGCAACGTTCTTGCTCGTTATTTGTTTTCACCAGGGGTTTTCTTTTTGTCTGGAAGGTCATCCTTGATAGCAGTTTGTGAACTTGAGTGGGCGAAAGAGCAGGGATGAGAGGCAAATCGTTTTTCTAGCAGTAGAAACGATAAGCGTTCTGTAGTCAGGTGACAGCAATGCCTCTTTGTGGTTAGCTGTGCTTGAAAAAGCCCTGCAGTGGGCCGCGGCAGTATCCTGACCAGTGAGAGCTTTTATTCTTTAGCTGGTCAGAACCAGGCAAACATCTCCATCTGTTAGCTTGAGGCCATGAAATGAAGATGTCTCCTAGAGCCAAAACAGCAGAGATTCTTCTAAGGTAGTTAGGAGACACAGTATTGCTTGCCTCCTTGCTTCGGTTTTACAGTTTTCATAAGGAAGATCGGAAATGTTAAAATGGGTGTGCTACAGTATTCAGAAGTTACAAGGTCTGATTATATAACTTACTCAAACAGAGAAACCAAGGAAAAAAATTTGACAGTAAAAACAACATAAGAGTACTCATAACGCGTGCTTCCTGCGTAGGATATTTTTGACTGATTTATAAAAGGCATGTATTTTGCTTTCTTGGGAACTGTTGATGGAGTCTACTATGAAGCTGTACGTTAGGCTTTTATAATACAAGATTTTAGATACAGCACATCCCTTGGATCAACCACAGCAAGGAGGAAATTCCCTCAGCATCAGGATCCTGTGAAGAGGCAAAGGTCACTGAAGGAAATCTGTGTTAAAAAGCACCATAGCTTCTAATATTTACAAAACCGAGACAAAAAGACCAAGTCTTATCTGTTAAGAAACTTTTCTTACCTGAAAAAGATCTCAGGTTAGCTTTGTTGGGGCTTCAACTCATGGTTCTTGAAGCACTGGCTTCCTTCTTCTGCATCTACATGGAACAGCTCCAGTCACGCTCATCCCTCAAACCACTTGCAGCTGTCTGCTCCCTGGACGTTGCTGTCCAAGAGAGCTCAGCTGGCAGAAGGGACCAGCTGAGCACTTTGTGCAAAGTTCGCCAACTTAACTAGACCGGCTTCATCAACCGTGCAGGCTGAGATGGCTGCCCTGCCGCTGAAGGGCATGAGGTGTGCTCACGCTTTCCACTGCAGCGGAGGCTGCAACTGCCTTGTCAGCAACATCCGAAACTGCAATCCCAAGCAAAAACCGAGAAAGAGTCGTCAACTTTGTATATTCTTAAATCCAGAAATTAGAAGATTTCTACATTTGCATGTAGAAAAGCATAAAGGATGGTGATTTGTAAAGCCCATTCATGTCAAATTATTAACCAATTCCTGAAATTCATAAAATCCTTATAACAGGTTTTGTCTCAGTTAGAGTGTAGGTAACCACTGAGGTATTTCTGTAAAATTTTCTTGAACCAGTCGGTCGAGGCTTCGGCTGAAGTCAGACCTTAACAGGACAGAAACTCTTCTGTTGTCCTGTGGTGCGCCTGTGAAGCCAGGTTGGTTGAAAGGCCTAGCACAGAAGCTCCCTAACTTCTGCAGTTCTGTTTTCTTAGTATCTGTTTGCATATGTGTAGGAATACTCCTTCAAATGTTCACACACAAACACACTGTGGAGTAAGATATAGATTCCATAAAGTGAAATTGTTACGTTCTCTTTAACAGTTTCCCTGGTTCAAAAAAAAATCATTTTGAGAGAGCAGTAGATAGGGAAAGGAACAGAGTAAGATTACTGGAAGACTGTTACCTATTTAGTGGTAGAAAAAGATGTATTTAGTGTGTTTTGCAGCATGCTTGGTCACTACGGCTCATCTCTTAGCCTGAATATTATTTACATTTTTGGGAAAATGTGGATGCAACTATTAAGAGTGGTATTCCTCCAACAAGCTCCATTAATTTGGTAAACGAACTGAAGAATTGCTTGGCCTTACATATTTACAGTAACTTGTGCAATTCGTAAAATTGATGATCGTGGTAATTCTAAAATAAACTCTTTTGTTACAGAACCACAGTAAAAACTGCACTTTTTTGCACATAACAGCAGTCTGCCCACTATTACGTCTTTAAATACTACCAGTAGTTCTTCTGAAAAATATATTTAAAATAGCTTAAAGCCCAGAACCCTACAACAGGTATCTTCTATTGATACAAATACTCTGATGGGTGAATGCAATCTGAAATGTCACTCACCAGCAGCTGAATGAAATTTCAGATTTCAGATTTCACTCACCCAAGATATAACTGCAGTCCTCAAACTGCCACAATCTATATTTACCTTGAAAATCAGCAACAGTATTAAAACAACAACAACAACAAAAAGGCCGTAATACACCAGACCCTGACCACGGAGCCAAGCACAGACAGGAAACTTCCTTCCCTTTATTTAGCTAAGTAAGAAGCTGCACAGTTTTACTCATGGAGTTTTGCCAGGTTATTCCTAATCTTGGATTTCCTTTCCTACACGCTACCTATTGTTAACATTACAAAGTCCCAGTATAGGAAACAGATATTCTTACACAAACTGGAACTGAAACAAAATCACCATTTGTACCTCTGAGTCTATATATGGACACATTTCATGCAGCGTTAAAACAGGTCTAACATGTTTTAACATTAAATTCAAAAAAGAAGGTTTTTGTCTTAACGTTAACAGTTCAAAGGGTTTTCTGTTAAATGAGAAGCATGGTATTTATTCAAGGCCTAATCCTAAAGTTCAAATACTGATTTATTTATATGCATGTAAATCTAAACTAACTCCATACCTGTTTAAACGAAACAGTTTCCCCCACATAACTCACAGAATATATGATTAACTACAAAGCCAGTTAAAAGGTGAAAGAGTATTCAGACTACTACATTAAAAACATGCAAGAAAGGTAGTAAAAAAAATACAACACAAATAAAGCTTGTAGGAGAGTCTGAGTGTACTTTTGAGATGGGAAACTGCTTAACAATTGAACTTGGATCAAAAATATATACAATATATTTTATAACACGGACAGTGATCATAGCTCATTCAAACAGATTAAAAAACAGGAAAAAAGCATTACTGCCTTAGCTTACTTACTGATTTAAAGAATCTAAATAGTTGAACAGCAGCGAACAAACGACATCCTCTGTTGCCAGAATCAGGTTATGTCATATTACTTGCTAAATGGATTAGCAAATTAATCGCCAGATTCAAGAAAAAAAAGCAAAGAAACAACCAATGTGTTTTACAGCGGTTTGAAATACTACAAGTTTTAGCATTTTCAGTGTAAAATCGATCATGAATTTGGAAAATACAAGGTGAAACACACTCCTAACTTGGTCTGGAGACCACGAACAATTTTTAGTGGAACACAAGCACTGAAAATAATTGTGTAGTGAAAGTTTTACTTTCCAGATCAAAAAAACCCCAAACTTTCTGCCCTCTGCTGTTTAGACCAGTAAAAAAGAGAGAGATCTACAAATCTGCATCGAATGCATACAGCTGAGGCCCCAGCCTAACTGCTTTTGAAAAAATAATCTATCTCAAGCTTGAAATTCTTGGGCGCTTAGGTGTTCTATGCGCTTGGACCTTTGCATCTGTAGGAAGCTCTCCTGAACTCAGTGGACTATCAACAAGGCGCCAGGGACCTATTCACAAGCTGCTTACTTCGTTAAACCAAAAGTTTCCTGACGTACACAGAAAGGGCAGTTCGTCACCATAAAGTTAATTGCCCACAGTTACTCAAAACATACAGAGGTCCCACGCTGATGGTAACAAGCATATTCTCCATACTTGATTGGTCTCTAAAGATGAAATAGTGATATGCCTGACTTCCTCACAGAATATTCAGAATTTAATTTATGTTTGTAAATTGCTTCAAGATTTTTAGATGAAAAGCTCCAAGTACTATTATTTCATTATTGTAATTATTTCATTATATGATTGCAAGGGCTGCGTCAGTATTTTCACTGTAGGCTTCCTCTAATTAAAACGCATCAAGGATATAAAATTCAGGTTTGCAATTTGTCTGTGTGCTTTCAGGGGATAATTCTGTATTCAGAAGCATTTTGCATGTCCACAATGTAAAACTAACTTCCAGATTAATGCATAGCAGAAACTTCATCAAATCATATTATTACTTCAACAACATTTTTACATTTTAAGACAGTGCATTAGATCAGAAATGACATTAGGCTAGACATAAACCGTATTAAAAAAAAAAAAAAAAAAGGAAAAAACCCTCCCCCCACAGTCTAGCTTGTACCCCAGTTTTGGCTCAACCTAATCACACTTGAGTACTTTATTACACAAGAGGATCTGTGGAAAGTAATACTACCATAGAAGTGCACGTTATCATTGAATGCTCCCTTAATCAAAATGACATGGAAAATAAAGCTGGGAGAGGCACCGAGAGGTCATCTATTCCGTATCACGGTCACAAAACACAACTACTTATCTATGCATGTTGCATGTGTCAATCAAGTACAGTACAGTTCAAAATTACCCTATACTTTCCAAAACTTATTAATATGAATATATAAATTTTTCCCATGCTCCTGTAAATAGTGCCACTGTCAGCAGAGCAAATCTGATAAGTCACTTAAGAAGTTACATTTTTCTTTTCTTTCTTTTTCTTTTCTTTTTTTTTTTGTTTAAGAGGCAAGTTGCAGACTTGCAAAAAAATAGTAGAGAAGTGACCTCAAATTTAACTTTGCTTTTAGTGGCTAAATATCAGAGCACATTAAAAAAGCTTATAAAAATAAGGTGGGTTGAAAGTAACATTACATCATAATTTTTAATAGTTTATGAACAATGCCATGTATTCCCCACTTCTTGTTCAGTGATTTCTATAAAGCAATAGCAAATTCACGAGAGGAAAAAAGTTATATCAAATGTAACTTTAGATGGCACCTTTCATTTTTGATAGCTTATATTAAAACTGAAAAATCCAGATCCATATGTGAATCCATATTTTAGCACTCACTATCGATGGGATACTGAAGTAAAAGATGCTTTTTCAGTCTCCTAAGCTTCAATCGCACCACAAAACAGCATTTATACAAATACAGTTTTTGCAACATTGACAACTCAAATCTGAACACTTACGTCAATGGCAGTTAGCGTCATTTGTGACGCTACACACGCAGAGAAACGGCCAGCGTTGGCCGGGACGCCAACTAACTAAGGAAGCTTGTTGTCTTTTTCTGAAAACTTTAAGAACTAGGAAGGTAAAAATGCTCAGATTCACTGGGGCAACAGTGAGATGAAATATGAAAATCGAGGACTTAAATCTGTCTGTATCAAACCAGAGCTGCGGCAGAGAAGTCCCAACAGACCGGGTTAAGTGAATCACCAGACGTTCCAGAGAAACAACCCTGATTATGAAATCCCTGTTATCACCGTGAATTAATGTAATAAAGGTCCCAACGATCTGCTTATTCAATAATGGCCAACATGGTATTACATTTCAGTAGTTTAACATTTTAAGAACAGGAAACTATTAGCTGATTCACATACGGGAGACAAAATCAGGCTTGTTTGCACCACAACCGTGCTATGTAAAGAAGGCAAAGAATAAGCAGCTCCATGTTCTAGAAAACTGACTTCACTTTTAAATTATAATACCTGTTGTTAGTTACAGCACTTCTGCCATGTTTCATTTGAAATAATACTTAACCAAAAGGTACAAAAATCCAAAACGGTATGAAAAGAATGCATTTGGGAACGTAGGAAAACAGTAACAGAGAATTTTCATGGTGTCGCTATGAAAGACAGGAAAGATACAGTCACTGCCAGAACCCGTGTGCTGCGGTTCCCTCTTTGGCCTCTGCAGTATACTTTAAAGGACTTACGAGCCACCCCACTAATGACAGTAAAACATTAATTACGGAAACTATTTAACATCAGTCACTAAAACTACAAAATAATATATCAGAATACTACTAGAAAGTGACTTCTCACATAACTTTTGTCAGGTATTTTTCTTAAAAATGGAAAAGCAATAGTTAGCTCAGCGTTTCCTTTATAAACACTGTCCATGTAAGGGAAAAAATTGTTGCATGAGTATCAGAGAACAAGCCGCAAAGTGTGTTTAAGCAAAAACTTTTCTTAATCTGCCTGATAGCGTATCATCACCGAAACCCAGAGTTTTGGGTTTATATTTTTTCAGATCACCTTTACATACAGAAATAATCTGTGCGCTAACTCATACTCGGCCCCTGGGCTTTCTACAGTAACGACTAGTAGGGGATACAGCCAACTTTATTATAATCAAGCTAATGTTTCCACAGGACTGTCTTAGGTAAGGTCAGGTAGACAACCTTACCGAACAAGAGTTGCGATCTCCTACAATTTAGATCAGGCCATAAAGCTAGGAACGAAATTCTCACGACACGGTCCGCCACTGCTCCACAGAAACATTTCCAAGACAATTGGAAATGGTGGCGTTGGCGGGGAAAGAAGGGCAGAAGGGCAGCGCAACACCCAGCCCCTGCCTTGACTGAAGCCTTTGGGGGAAGGGGGCAGTACTCCCACCCCTACATTTGCATTTCTATGCACACATGAGTCGAGATGGAAGAACCACTGCTGTAAAGTATTGTTTCCATCCAGTACGTGTATTTTTATTTCAAAATAGAAGCAAAACCAAGAAAAAAAACCTGCTTGATAAACATAACAGTAAACGTGCATCTTCGTATACTATTGAGGCAGCCCTACTTAACGTATAAAAGTTCTTTAAGAACATTTATACTAATTTAGAGCTAAAGATGCTAAATGCAGCATGCTGAATTTCAATATATGCAGGTTAAGCAAAACCAATTACCTATCTCATATCAGGCAGCTGTGTAAAAGTTAGCACGAGAGGACATTCAGCCTGAAATTACTGGCTCAAGATCCTGGCAGCGGAAAGCATTTCATCTGATCCAGATGTTTATTTTTCCTCAAAATGTATTGGTGAACGTTGTTCCTGGTCATTTCATGAACTACCTCATAAGACAACAGTCACGAATTAACACTACTTCATGTTGCGCACTATTCGCCTACAATGGTTTGTCTTCATTTCCCCCAAGGCTCGTTCCAGTTGCTGAATTAGGTGAAGCAGCGTAGAAGGGTCGGTTTGCAGCACTTGGGCAGTTTGATCTCCGTTCTGATTCAGGTGCAGCTTTAGAGTCACAGCAGGCTTAATCTGTTGTCTCAAACTTCTGCTTGCAAGCTGTACGAGGGAGTTTGGATGAAATGGGAAAAAAAAAGAAAAAGAAAAAGAAAAAAAACAGTTGTCAACTTTCATATTTACAGTTCACAACAGATTTGCAGGACCTGCTTGCAGGACTGTAAAAATCCTTTTCACTCACAAAGACAGGCATATTCTATTACTTAGTTTTATCATTAGATAACATTAATCCACTCTAACACGGTAATAATATTTGTGAAAGTTAGATGACACATGAAACAACATATTTAGTGTATTTTAACATTTTTAAAGTGACAATGGAGCTATGAATTTAATTTTCATAAAGCAACAAATAATTTGTTTGCATCATCACCTGTCCTGTTCATCTTAAATCTAGTTATCTTCTGTAAAATAACAAAATTATGACAATTTTACACGTAAGAAAACTGCTGCCTCAGTTACTTTGAAATAATACAAATCACATTAATTTGTTCACAGTTGCTTGTAATGCTAAAAAAAAAAAAAAAGTAAAGCAAAATGCAGATTACTAAAAAAAAAATAAATAAAGAGAAGTTACCTGCACATCTAGTCTCCATTCAAGATTGTGGTAACTGGGAAGCTTTGGTGCCAGCTCACTAAGAATGCTTCTGATCTCTTTCCTGTTATCAAGGTAAAGCTGGAGCAGTAATTTGTTCAATTCGTCTGAGAATCCCAGCACATGAACAGAATCCTGGAAATCTGTCTCAGAAATCTGGACATAACAAGCGAGGCCTTAATATGGAAGGCTGTAATAGTCATTACTTATTGAAAAACAATTAAAACTAAACATCATACACGTGGCATGGCACAACTATTTTCCTGCAGAAATTCCACAGCTAGGACAAAACAAATCACCCATGTTTTAAGTTGATACATTACCGCTAATTTGCACAAACTTCAGAAACAGTTTTGAGGTCTTTAAAAAAGAAAAGTGTTCAACATCTTCATGGTTGATCCTTCATATCAGGGAAGGAGACACAAAAGAAAAAGCATTTCAGCTTTGCCGAGATGGAAATACATTTCTAGATAATTTATCAACAGTATGTTAATTTAATATTGATACTCAAATTATAAATACTCTGAAACGAGCTGATTATCTACAAACGTAAGCAAGCGCTGTGTACAGCCTCAAAGCTCATGTTTATTCGCTCAGCCTGGCCCGCAGAAGGCAACTGCCCTAGGTCAATGCCTTTGTGCTGAACTGGAGAAGTTTGGTTCATTATTGTGGAAGTAGCTATTTATTTGATGGAAAAAGTTACACATTTGCAATGGAGTAAATATTTTTCATACAGCTAAAACATTCCGTGATCACCTATATTCTACCATAAAGCCTCAATAATTTATCAGTCGTCAAGTCACCTTATTCAACAGACAATTGCAATTGTTCATTTTCTTCCCTATCAATTCTTCAGAACAACGTCTGCTTGAAGTTAAATTGGAATTACTCGTCTCTGTATCTCTTTTCCATGTTTTCCACGTTCAAAAATTCTCCAGTGTTAATAGCAAGCAGTCTTTCCAATGGAAACGGTTGTCATCCAGCTATTGTTCTTTCAATATTTGCTTATACCTGCCCAAGCTTCTGATGCCAGGAGCTGAGAACGCTCTCAAGCTAAGCCTATCAGTTAACCCAAGGAACGCTTATAGGGGTTTAACACAGCACATATCCTGTACGGAAGCTGAGCAAAACATCTCCGCTCCAGCGACTTTTCTTACTCAGACAGAGCTTAATCCTCCAGCATGCTTCTTCCCAAGGCAGCCTAAGTTGCTGTACGTTCTTGTTACAGGCTGTTAACCCACTGTCGAGTTTTAGCTTCAAAGACGCTGGACGCAGACTGCAGACAACCTGAGTCGTCCTCACAGATGCAGCGTTTCAAAGGGGAGAATTGCATGAGGGCAGACATCACTTCCTTCTTTTTTTTTTTTTTTTTAAATTAAACAGATCTCTCACATCAGACTTTCGGAGCGGTTCGCCCCCCGCGCCCGGACGCCCCCCAGCGCAGCCCCTCACGCGCTCGGCGAAGGCGGCCTTACCATGAGCTTGGCGCTCTCAGTGAGCAGGTACGTCAACCCTTCCACTCCCTG